CTTGGGTTGTTACCAACATCTGGTGAAAATTTTATGTCATTAGCACCTCTAGTAATATATTTACTGAGAAAAATGGTGACATGTTCAATACTTATTTTACCCGCTGTATTTTGGCTGGGGGCAGCTGTGGTGGAGTGGCTAGGGTAGTCGTCCAGGAACTGGAAGGACGCGGGTTTGATTCCCCGTCCAGACATTTCAGTCATTGCGTCCTTGGGCAAGACAATTCACTGGCCTTGCCTACTGATGGTGGTCAGAGGGTCCGGTGGCGCCAGTTCTTGGCAGCCCCACCTCTGTCAATGTGCCGGAGGGCAACTGTGGCTGTAGCTTATTGCCATCAGTGTGAATGTACGTGTGCATGGGTGAATTCCCGAAGTGTAAAGGGTCTTGGGGTCCACATGGACTTGATAAAGCGCTGTATAAGTTCAAGCCATTTACCATATATCATAATAAAATAGAAACAATGAATAAATTTAGCTTTTTTTCTGAAATAAAACATTTATTTTAAAACCAAACCTTTACAACTGAAAACAGTTAAATATAGTCAGGCTTAGATTGACCTTTCAGATTTTACCTTGCTGTGATGTTTGATCCAAGCAGCAGTAGCAGCAGAGCAGTAGCAGCAGAGCAGTAGCAGCAGAGCAGTAGCACCTACTGGAAGAAGGATGCTGTGGAAAAGTGAACTCAGTGGTTTTATACCTTCTTCTCTTGGTGAACCTGTCGGTCAGCTGATGGCATCTAATCAGATAAAGTTGATGCTGTTGGGGGGAATTCAGGTGTAACAACAGCTCCCTCTGGGGTCCTGACCTGCTGAGGTTCAGGTCGGTTCTGTTAGTGATCGGATTCAGGAGGAATGGTCAGACAGTTAATCACTGGTTTTGTTTACAAAACCTCACATTTCCAGTTTAGCCTCTCCTCACCGTCAGGCCAGTGAACGCTGAGAGCATTGATCTGGAACTGCTGCTTTGAGTTTCAAAGAAACAGTTTAGTTGAAGGTAAATGGATTAGTTTTCTGGTAAATGGATGTTGATATTGATCTGGTTACACCAGTTTGACCCTTTAGCCCTTGTTTTTGTGTCCACAGACCATTTATTAATAGGGATCCTACGTACAAGGGAACATAGATAACAGGGAACATCCCTACCAGGAACATAGGTACAAAGGAACACATATACCAGAGAACATATGTACCAGGGAACATAGATACCAGAAACATACTCTGGGTACAACTGAACATAGATACCAAGGAACATCGGCACTAGTAGCATAGGTAAAAGGGAACATAGCTACCAGGGAACATAGGTAACAGGGAACAGAGAGACCAGGGAACATCGGTACCAGGTAACATAGTTTCCAGGAAACATGGATACAGAGGAACATTATTAGCAGGAACATAGGTACTAGGGAACATGGGAACCAGGGAACATAGGTACCAAGGAACATGGGTACCAGGGAACATAGGTACCAGGGAACATGGGTACCAGGGAACATAGGTACCAGAAAACATAGGTACAAAGGAACATAGATATCAGCGAACATCGGTACCAGGAGCTTAGGCATAAGGGAACATAGGTACAAAGGAACATAGATACCAGGGAACATCGGTACCAGGAACATACAAAGGAACATTGATACCAGGGAATGTCAGTACCAGGAACATAGGTACAAAGGAACATAGATACCAGGGAATGTCAGTACCAGGAACATAGGTAAAATGGAACATAGGTACCAGGGAACATAGAAACCAGGGAACATAATGTACCTGATGGTTGAGAAGACACAAAAGATATTTTCACCAAACCTTTGAAGCCAGTAGGTCTGAGATGTTCTGTAAAGATAATTTCATTTCTGAAACCTCACTTCTATGTGTGACAAACCCAGCTCAGTGATTTCTGAGCAGCCAGAGGCAGAATACATACTTAGAGACTAGAATTGTTTTTTTTTTTGTTTTTGTTTTTTTGTTTTGTTCCAGGGACATTTCAAGGAACTGTTTCGTAAAAGTGCCTACAGAAAGATAAAGGGTAAAGGTAAAGGTAAAGGTAAAATGTTTTCAGATGTACCTGTTCCTCCTGAAACCTTCAGCAGATCATTAATCTTCACCTGATGATCTGGTTCACAAACAAAGGAAAGATTTATAAACTGTGTTTACTTTTTAAAGAGCTCAGTGAGAGCTGCTGCTTGGATTATCTCAAGGTAAAACACAGATTTTTTTCTGTTTATCAGTAGAGATTAAAGCTTGATTTAGTCTGGATTATATTTATCTGCTGTCATATTATAAATAGAAGTTTTCAGCTCGAAGTCCCGAGTTTATTTGATCAAATAAAACAGTTAAATATTTATATTTATTTGATTTTTATGTCTAAGCAGTAAACTCTTGTTAACACAGATGTCAAGTTTGTTCTTCACGTTGCTTCTTTTTGGCTTGGTCATCGAAAATGTAAGTTTGAATAAATTTTATTTTCTTTCGTTAGATTTTCCTTTTTTTAAATTATGACCAGAGGAGTAAAAAACGTAAAAAAACAGGAAAATTTTAGAGAAAACACTGCAAAACTTTTTAATTGGATTGATTAGTTTTTCAAATTTTTATGCATGAAGATGGTTGGTAGTTCCCACCACTTCATGTCTTTTTGACCAGATTTCATGCCGACGATGCCGACGACAAACAAACAAACAAACAAACAAACAAACAAACAAATCAGTTAAGAAGTTTCCAGTTTGTTAAATTTGGTTTTATTTTCCATACACAGCTTCTGGGTTTCCCTCCAAGTAAGTGCTTTAGTTTTTCATTTTGAGCTGGTTAACTTTTAAAATATTAATTCAGACATTATTTGAGCATTTTTGGGCTCGTGTGGTAAAACATAAAACATGACAAGATTCTTTAAAAAGTTTAGAGTTTTTAAGATTTAAGTTAAACGACAACATTTCTACTTCCTGTTTAGCTATGTCTAAACAGGAAGTAGTTTTCAAAGCAAAACATTTATTT